TTTCTTAACACTTTGGATAGCTTCCAGAAGCCGGATTTATTTGGATTTAACTCCTGGATATAGGATTCCCAACTTTCATATTGTGGGCTTGTAGTTGCCTTTTCACTTCTCTGTTTAGCTCGTTTGCAATCCTTTTGTCTTCTTGTGTCCTTGTTCTGTAAGCTCTTCTTCTTTTCCTGTTTTTTTCTCGAATTAATTCTCTTAATTTCTGGGCTGATATCTTTGAATCTTCCCTGTTTCGTAATAATTGGTTCTTCTTTTGAGCTGGCATCGAATGGCATTTTTACATGCGAGTAGAACAGTCAAATAAAATAAATTCGATAATAAATAAATGGGAACGTGTTAAAAAACTCTTGGAGCCGTCGATTGGTACTTTTAGTTGCGCATTTTTTGCACTAAAAACTATTTATACAGGTTGTGCCATATAACCGTGACCAATACCAACTTTCATATTTTAAACACAATACCCTATAATTTAATTTGGACATATATCACGTACAATATCCTATACCTATCTTTAACTGATTAGGAAATATTTTGCGTTTTTAGATTTATTCCAAATTTTGCTACAACACACTCAATGCTTATTTCCCATGTAGGTATTGATAATGAAAAACGGCTGACGCAAATTGTTGTCTGTTTGCATGAAAGCGGTTTTTAGTTTTATAGTTATTTGAATTTCGTCAACTGCATATCAGAACAATGGTTCATTTAACAGAAATGCACAAACTATCAATTCTTCAGATATTTGATTATGGACACAACACACGAATACAAATAGATGTTGCTTGCTTATTTCATAATTTCCAAATTTGCAGCCTATATGTCAACTTGGACATATAAGACATATAAAAAAAGCAGCTGCTAATGTAATAAGTGATGATGTCAAATTAGATTCTTGAGTTTGAGGAAAACCTACATATTTCTAGTCTAAAAGCAGCCCCGATATTTGATGTTATCCATTCATCGATTACAGCATGTACATTATAACATTAAAACAAAATAATTGCAACCCTGTAAAATGTTACCAAGTTAGAAACTCATGGAAGATGACTTTGATAGAATAACATATTCTTATAAACAAATAATGGCAATATTAGATAACAATGTGATCCAATTAGAATGTTTTAATTGAAGAACTTGTTTTGTTGACTGGTGGTTATATAAATACTAAGATTTGCATTATTTATAGGTCCAATCGATGATGAATATGAGGGTAATTAATAACGTAAGATACTCTAAAAGTACAATATGTGCCTTTTATAGATGCTTAGTTGGCCGATATCCGTTCATTAAATCATATGATCATCCAACAATATGCATCATTAGGTATTAAGGTGTATTTGGGTATTGTTATTAACATACAATAGACCCCTGATATTAGTATTTATAGATTTACACAAAGCGTTTGACCAGGTAGAACTAGATAGTGTTAAGTTTAAATAGTTCGCATTGATATTCTTTATTCTAGATTTAGTGTGCTATATTCTAATTTATTAGAAACTCACGAAAACTAATTACTGAATTCATTAAATAGCTTATAGAAATACAAATTTAATTGTTAGTTTCGTTACAAGTAAACCACGTTTCCCGATCTTCTTATACTGACTCCTCAATAAAATTTCGTCTTATATATAAAAACTTCGCTATCTGGAAATTCGTGACCTACTTTGCAAAGAACCCATGGAATATACTGTTCTTTATCGGTGAAGGCAATTAACGCTGAGACTAGTTCTATTATCAACATCGAGTCGTAGATGACATCACTAACATTAGGTCTAGATATTTCTGTAAACAACTGGTAACGAAGCTCAGGTAGATTTTGACCTACAAATTACGAGAATCAATAAAAAAGAATTAGTCATAAATATTTACAGTTCTATATGCCATAACATTTAAAATCGTAACAATAGTGTAATTGAAGCATTAAATGAAAGTCGCATTGATATCCGTTATTCCACATTAGTGGGCACTAATTATAAAATGGCGACAAACGAACAGGTGAGATACACGAAGACAGTAAAGATATGAAGCATATGGAGCACCAAAAACGTATTTAAATAACATACCAATTAATCTGAAGCGGAAAGTTTTGAATCAGTGTGTTGTGCCAGTAATACCAGTTGACCGGTGCGGAAACACCGACAAAACAATGCTTTAAAACTAAGTGTAGCATAAAGAAGGATGGAGCGTTCAATGATAGGAGTAACACTAAAAGATAAGATCACAAACAAAGACCTACGAAGCATCAGAGCTACAGATGGTATAGCTCTGATTTTTCTGTAAAGAGATAAGTGCTGATGAGGAAAGACTGTACCTACTACCTGATTTATACTCATGACATAGTTTTTTTAGATGATGACCTAGGTGAAATCAACATTATGTTAGAAAAACTGAAAAGAGCTTACAGAGAAATCGGTTTAAAAATAAATATCTTCAAAACAAAATACATGACGAACCTCGTGCAAAGTAACCATTTAAAAATTCAGAAAGACGAAGTAGAATTTATTGATAAATATATAAAACTTGGACACTAAATTAGAATAGGCAAGGACAACCAAACAGGTAAGATATCTAGAAGAATAGCATATGTATGGGCAGCATATGGAGCTCCAAAAAATGTAGTTAAGGACGGCAATATACCAATTAATCTGAAGCGGAAAGTCTTCAATCAGTGTGCTCTGTCAGTAATTACCTACTTTCCGAAATCACTATCCCTAACAAAAAACAATGCTTTAAAATTAAGTGGACCATAAAAAATCATCAGCCAATTGGCTGCAGTACGACTATTGGAGAACAAGACCGCTTCTAGAAAACAAAAAATAAATATTATGTGACATATAAAACTTTGCCGATATATGGCATGTAAATAGACTAAGATGGGCCAAGTAATATGATGTGATATAGAAGTCAAACATAAAGCGTCTTCATGCCACCTTTCGCCGGAAAATGCAGAGAACGTGACATAGGTCCTCCTGGCCTTTCGGCATATGACCGTTAGTGAAACCATTGACTCTGCGGTCCTACACAAGATTAGGATGGCACACAGGCTGCTAACACAGTAGGAATAAGGTCCCGACCTCGCACGTTGGAGAGATCGCCACTGAGGAGCCTACTTCTCTACCACTTCTCCAAAATGGGCACGTACCACCAGCTCACGTCCGGCTGGTGGCTAAAAACATGGTTGATATCGGCTAATAGCTAAGCTACACATTCTACATCCGTGTTTTTAATTTAAGTAGGTTGTAACATTTTTTTTAATTAATATATTAAATTATTTTTAATTCCTTTTACCCATGTGGATGATACGCCGATGATCGTGTGTACGATTAGAAATGTTATGGCGGAAGAATTTACCTACCAAAATAACACGGAATTTCCCTAATTAAGAAAGGTTGTTAATCCTATCCGTCTTAATCCTGAGTATGAAAGGAACTAATGTTTTTCGGTATGCCGGTTCTTTTTCATAAATTGGTAATTTTCGTCGAAGGCACGTATAGTAATCTTTTGACAATAACATAATCAAAAGGATTGTATATGGCCTCCCGTAATACCTACCGTAAATACCTCAAACTTTTCGATGTCCATTAGAATATTTTTACCTTCTCAGAACTACATACAACTGGCCTATGATTTCTAAGTGGGAGATATCTCCTCTTTTTTCTTGGGAGTTTGTAAAATTTTAGAAAAACCAAGTTACTTCTAGTGGGGCGACATTGAATGCGGTCGCTTGCATAAAATTACCGTCGCTGTGCATTTTTTCTCTAAGTGTGTATACACTTTATATTTGAGTTTTCTTTTCTTATACTATATTAGATTATATATAGTTCTAAAGTACCTTTAATGTTAATTAAAGTCAGTGTTGGATACAAGTAAAATATTAAGTAGTATATAGCTTTAGCAAAGTACCTAGTGCCGCAGTCGTCAAGATTTACTGTAAGTAATCATTATCTTCAAATTATCTGGGCAAGTAATATGGTATGGTATCATATCATCTGCCATTATCTGGACGTATCTAAAGTTCCTCCATGTCTTCACCTGTAGATTGCTGATTTTTGCATTCAATTTAAAGAACATTTCAATAGATTCAAGAAATTTCAATAAATAATAATTATGAACATTTAAGTCTCACTTTCTCTCGGCCTGTTTCTATCTTATCGTATCTTTGGTAATTTTACCCATCTATCTTTTTGTTTATTTCTGTATCTTTTCTTATATATCTTATCCTATCTTTACTTATTTTATACATTGGACCCATTCTCGGTTCCAAAAGCTAGTTTCGAACCCACGACTCGCTCTCCACCAACCATCTGGCTGCCGTCCGCAGTGTCTCCATTGCTGACCTTTCTAGCACCATCCAAAAAAAGTTTCCGAGGTTACAAGGTCACACTGTATACAAAATAATTTCGTTAATTACGGAAAATTTTGAATTTTAAAGTACCTATATGTCTTAAACCACCCCTGCCGATTTATGAACCGGAATGTCACATTATAAATAATAAGCCAAAAAGGAAAATAATAAAGTAATTTCCATTGAACCATCAATGGATAGTAGTACATGGCTTCAGCTCCCTCTTCATACAATTCACTTACTAATCTTCAATTCGTGTTATATAAATTATAACATTTAAAATAATAAAAAAATGTTTATACTTCGAACACTCTGACCGTTATAAACAAGTGCGCCTATGTAAGTACTTGAATACATTTTTAGAAGGAAAAAATGATAACAAAATTAAGGGATTAAACTTTATTTTTATTGAAACGAAAAATATTACATGTGCATATTAACTAAAAAATAATACATTTAATAAAAATGTCAAGTGTAAATTAATTTTCAATAACAAACCGTAGTTACGAAAGTCGCAATTATCCATAAAGGGTTCAAAGAGCTGTTAAAATACAAGAAGCAAATTAATTGGAGCACACAGTAAAATATACTGATAACCTTATAAATAAAAACTGCTGGCTTTATCTCGATATGTCCAATCGCTTATAACCAGCAACTCAATCAACATATTCACACACACATACAACATTTACACAAAACTTACAGAGTCGACTTTTAAAAGTTAAAAGAGGTGAAGGCTGCAAGATAAAATAATAATACTGGAATAATTAAGACAAGATTTTATAAAGTTTTACTGTGCGTTGCATAATTGCAGCTAAAGAATTCCATATTCTTCGTTTATTCAATCAAGACACCAAATAGAAAGCAGCGAAACAGTTGAAGTAGACCGAAAATTTGAATAACTTAATCAGGTTTTGAAGATTCTACCACAGTCTATCGATGACAAACGTAAGTGTTCATTATCTTATTAACTCGTTAAAATAATTGCAGGAGAACTTAATTTGATTATTATCATTCTACATCATCTAATACAGTAGCAATTTCTTTCATGCTTTTACTTTCATTTGCATCTCAATCGAATAAGCACATGTGCGGTTTCCTTATTTGTAAAAATCGTAGAAAACGTACGTATGTAAGAAAGTTTGTTCTGAAGTGTTTACAGTGAATATAAGTGTCTGCAGTTATAATACTTTCGATATATGCAATAAAAAATATTTTAAAGAAATGCAGCGGTAAGTTATTAGGACATACTATTATTTATTTATTTATTTTTGACATTTAAAACATTTATATTTCGATTCAACTGTGAATGAATGTTTTTTTTATTTTCAATTAAATTCCAAAAACTAATTTCTGCCCTTATTTTTCCCTTAATACCATTCCAAAGTTAGTCACAGTCAAATATGTCATCGGAGACTTAACCTTTACCTAAGAGATTGTAAATAAATCATATATCGTCATATATTCAAACTAAGAGTTATAGTTTATATGTCATACTGTCTTTTTTATCCCATGATCTTTTCTTTTCTTGCGTTTTAACTTGACAGATATTTTTCATTCTGTTTTTTTCAATGTTTTTCATCTTCAATAGATATGTATGCTATCTAGGTCGGTCAAATATTGTTATTTATATTTTATATTCCAACAGATAACTACATTTAACCTCATATTATACCATATTTATGCTTTGATATCATCACTAGTACTCTTAATATCCAAAGAAAATATTTAGTTTGAGCGTGTAGTTATCGAAAAATTGTTTTTTTTTTGAGTTTTTATTTTTGTTGTATGTAGTTATAGTGTTTCTTTCTCATGGATTAGAATAATACATTCTTTCGCTGCCGTTGCTAAGATCATTTAATGTTTTATTCGATTGCTTCTGATACGGCACATTATTGCAATATTTTTTTTAAAATACGTTTAGTGTGTATTCTTTGTTGCTTTAATGACTGTCATCCAATGAATCATAATACTACTAAATATTTGAAAAATGTATTTATAATTTCAACACATTAAGTCGTTAAGCATTCGATGTCAATTTACTTTCAAAAAGTCAAATTTAACTGTCAAAAAGTTTGCCTAGAATCTTCACAACAATTATATACATGTATGTTATGTCCAAATTACGCTAGGATTGCCCAAAGTCCACATACTAATCTATTAAGGGCATAATAATACCATTTCAAGGTCTTGTACAAAATTTATACAAAGATTATGCACATATATATTGTGTTTCTGTGACCAGGTACTTCGAGCTTTAGATAATGTAAATCTGGTAGGTTGTGAGATGTGGATATCTTGGCATAAATAACAAAGCTATCTTGTTGCTGCAAGGATTGTTTCTAGTGCCAGTCTGTTACCGACTCATAAGACGTAGACTTCATATTCTTCAGTGTAGCTTCGCTTTAGAGACAATAAATATTTTTCAACACAAAAATATACTGTTGGTAATTCTCCTTAAAATATTGTAGGGATATTTCCGAGAGCTATTGATATCCAGGTGTTAAGAGCAGTAACCCATATCCGTATTCCATTCTGTGGAGCCTCACTTGGATAGTCACAGTTCGGCAATAACTTATCAATCAAAAGACTCAAATGTCAACTCAGTACAAATAAAATAAATTGGGTGAAAGTATACAAACTTTATCATTACTTTCCATCGTCTTGCTCAAAAAATTAGTCTAGTATTAAAAAAACTTATTACTGCTACTATTTTGTTAGATTTGAAAGTAAATACAATGCAAAAATTGTTTGATAGAACTGCAATAAATATTTGACCGGTTTGTTGCTAAACCACAATCATATTTTATGAAAAACCTTAATATGGCTATATATATATATTATATATATAATATATATATATATATATATGTTATGTATATATATGTATATATATATATATATATATATATATATATAATATATATTAAATTATTTTCGACCGTACTGTGTTACATAGAGATTTATAGTCTCAGCAATTGTTCTACAGGAAATAAAACACTTGAAGACAGGACATGACTTTGACTTTAAAAATGTAAAAATCTTGGAACAAGTTGATAATTATAAAAATCGACTTTTCCTTGAAATGGTACACATTAATAAAACTCCTGAATCTATCAATTATAAGACAGACACCAACTATTTAAGTAATATCTACTGCAATATACCAAACAATATATGATATGATAGATCTTAATATCAGTATTACAATAACTGACAAAGTACCATCAATACATTTTATAGATCAATTTACCATGTTCCCGATTCTTTCTCAATCCTCTATTTTTCCACCTTATAATAAGGATAATATTGTCATAATAATTGTTTATTTTGACTTATTCACTAATAATTGTACAATGGGAATTCACTCTATAAAATATTGGCGGTTACCATAAATCCCAAATAAATTAAAATCAAAAATGTCATTTTTACAACTAACGCCATACTTCTCAAGATCAAAGAAGAGTTATCTTATCTGCAGACTCAACAAAAAGATATTTCCTTCATCTGGGTACCTTCCCATATGGGAATAAGTGGTAATGAGGAAGTGGACTCTCTGGCAAGCAATGCAACCACCGACCAAAGTATTGCTATCATAAATCAAATGCCTTGGACTGATCACAAAGTAAATATCAAAGCCCACATATACAGAGCGTGGCAAACTACTTGGGATCATACTGCCAACAAACTCAAAAAATGTCTAAGTCAAGTAGGAACCAAACTCATCTTACCAAATAATAGAAAAGACCAAGTTATTATCAATCGACTCCAAATAGAACATACTTTCCTTATCCACAAGCATATCTTCAACCAGGAGGCTGCTCCGATGTGTACCAAGTGCAACACTCAGTTGTCAATAAAACATATATTTGTTGAGTGTCCAGTGTACCAGAACGAAAGAATCGCGTGTGCCCTTAGTGACAATTTACAAAGTGTACTGACGTCAAATTTACAGTCTTTATTAAGTTCTCTCAAAATGACTAAACTATATATAAGATTGTGAAAAATATTTTTTTTGTGTAACAATATGTATCTTACTGTTTGTGTATGTCCCCCCGCTAATTACCCTTAGTGGTTGATGCGGGTATATTTGTTTAAATAAAAAAAATGTCATTTAAGTAGATATGTTATCAAAATTTAAATTTTTAATCTTATAGTTGTCAGTATTAAAATATTCATTTTGTTTACATGTAATAATTATTATAATAAATTTACAGTTTTCTCCTGAAGAAGTCACAAAATCGTGACGAAATATTGAGACAGAACAAATAGAGTTTTATTTCCTGTAGACCATTTGCTGAGCCTATATATATATATATATATATATATATATATATATATATATATATGTATATATATATATATAATACATGTATATATATATATATATATATATATATATATATATATATATATATATATATATGATTTGTAGTCTCAGCAATTGGTCTGTGTGAAATAAAACTCTATTTGTTATTTCTCAATATTTCGTCACGATTTTGTGACTTCTTCAGGAGAAAACTGTAAATTTATTATAATTATTATATGTAAACAAAATGAATATTTCAATACTTACAACTTAAGATTAAAAATTTTAAATTTTGATAACATATCCAATTAGATAAATGACATTTTTTTTGATTTAATTTATTTGGGAGTTATGGTAACCGCAATATTTATAGAGTGAATTCCCATTGTACAATTTTTAGCGAATAAGTTTTAATAAACAATTACATATTGTGACAGTATTATCCATATAATAAGGTGCAAAAGTAGAATATTGAGAAAGAATCAGGAACATGGTAAATTGATCTATAAAATGTAATTGATGGTACGTAGTGAGTTATTGGTCTGATGTTGTTAGATACTGATATGAAGATCTATCATATTATATATTGTTTAGTATATTACAGTAGATATTACTTAAATGGTTGGTGTCTGTCTTATAATTGATAGATTCTGGAGTTTTATTAATGTGTACCATTTCAAGGAAAAGTCGATTTTTATAATTATCAATTTGTTCTAATATTTTTACATTATTAAAGTCAAAGTTATGTCCTGTCTTTAAGTGGTGGTCTACTAAGGCACAAGAGTTTTTTCGTAAGTTACAGTCACTTTTGTGTTGAGTGACTGTAACTTACGAAAAAACTCTTGTGCCTTAGTAGACCACCACTTAAAGACAGGACATAACTTTGACTTTAATAATGTAAAAATATTAGAACAAATTGATAATTATAAAAATCGACTTTTCCTTGAAATGGTACACATTAATAAAACTCCAGAATCTATCAATTATAAGACAGACACCAACCATTTAAGTAATATCTACTGTAAATATACTAAACAATATATAATATGATAGATCTTCATATCAGTATCTAACAACATCAGACCAATAACTCACTACGTACCATCAATTACATTTTATAGATCAATTTACCATGTTCCTGATTCTTTCTCAATATTCTACTTTTGCACCTTATTATATGGATAATACTGTCACAATATGTAATTGTTTATTAAAACTTATTCGCTAAAAATTGTACAATGGGAATTCACTCTATAAAATATTGCGGTTACCATAACTCCCAAATAAATTAAATCAAAAAAATGTCATTTATCTAATTGGATATGTTATCAAAATTTAAAATTTTTAATCTTAAGTTGTAAGTATTGAAATATTCATTTTGTTTACATATAATAATTATAATAAATTTACAGTTTTCTCCTGAAGAAGTCACAAAATCGTGACGAAATATTGAGAAATAACAAATAGAGTTTTATTTCACACAGACCAATTGCTGAGACTACAAATCATATTTAACACAGTACGGTCGAGAATAATTTGATAAATATATATATATATATATATATATATATATATATATATATATAATGTTACATATTAACATATCAATAAACAATTGGCATACCATCATAATCTCATT